AGACCAACCCCAAAATTCCCAAGGTGATAGGAGAGGAACAGAAAAAAACTGTTATTTTAAAATAATTGAGTTTAGCATAAACAACCAGGCACACTGTAATAATATGCCCCAAATCTCTGGGGAAACAAAGAGTACTTGATTTGGTGTTTTTTTCTTCTTTGAATGTAAATTGAGGTTTGGTTCAAAAGAAATATCTGAGTAGGATAAATGGTAGTTTTACTCTCTGACACAATTTCATTATGCTCAAAAAAAAATAGAAAATATTTTCTGAGCTACAATGTGAATCAGATCAGCACAAAGAATATGTCTGTTTAAAGTAATCTTCCCTTTTTCCTAGCAATGCAGAAAAATGTCTTGTGGTAGTTTGACTAAAACTCTTATCCCTTGTTTTCTTTTTTCATTTTCAAGTGTAAACTGTGCATAAATACTTTAGGATGTGTCCATATTTCCCCATGCCTCTGACTGTGAAAACTAAAGGATACTATACATATATTAAATCTTGCATGCTTGCAAAAAACATCATTTGTGAACCTGTCGGTGTCTGGTGTCAGGTAACGGATCTCAGCCTCAAGGAGTAACCCTGAGACACATCTCTGCTCAAGGGGAAATGGTTGCTATATGGAGGCATAGTGCGAACAGCCCTAATGGCTGCAGATATTTATACTATTAAGTGGTTGTTCATAGTTAGATTTTCTGCTATATTCATGCAGTTTCATTTTCTGCTTAGCCCAGTCTCCAGCTGGACTGGTTTTGGGAGGTTGATGCTGTAGCATTGATAGCCTCACACAACAGAATTAACTTCCTACTCTGAGCATCTGCCTGGACAAAAGTTTGGTTACCTCAAACAGAAGAAATGCATCTGCCACAGAGAGAAAGCAGCTATGTATAGTTACAGTTAGCCTCAACCATAAGAGAGCCTGAACATACTCGTTTACTTCATTAAAGATTTTGTGCATTCAGAACAGCAAAGGTGCACAGTATCAGCTGAGTCTTTGAGGTACTAAACTCAGAATATTTTTAAATTATGTTGACATTTGCTTGAGAGCCAGGTGAACATCAGCCAGCTGAGTGCTCAGGTGGCCAAGAAGACATGGGGCATCCTGGCTTGGACCAGCAATAGTGTGGCCGGCAGGACCACAGGGCAGTGACTGTCCTCCAGCACTGGGCACCAGTGAGGCCTCACCTTGAGTAAGTAGTGTGTTCGGTTTTGGGCCCCTCACAACCAGAAAGCCATTGAGGTGCTGGAGAATGTCCAGAGAAGAGCAAGGGAGCTGTGGAGGGCCTTGGAGCACAAGACTGATGAGGATCAGCTAATGGAGCTGGAGTTGTTTAGGCTGGGGAAAAGGAGGCTCAGGGGAGAACTTAGCATTCTCTACAGCTACCTGAAAGGAAGTTGTGGCAAGGTGGGGATCAGCCTCTTATCCCGGGTAATAAGTGACAGGACAAGAGGAAACAGCCCCAAGTTGCGCCAGGCAGGGCATTGGATTGAATATTTTTAAAAAATCTTCACTGAAAGGGTTGTCAGGCACTGGAACAGGCTACCCAGGGAAGTGGCAGAGTCACCATCCCTGAAGGTATTTAGGAGATAAGTAGACGTGGCACATAGCAACGTTGTTTAGTGCTGGACTTGAGAGTTCTGGGTTAATAGTTGGACAGGATGATCTTAGATGCCTTACATGGTTCTATGATGTATCATATTTTGCCTTAGTTCTGTCTTAAACTCTAATTCAATCTTGGACATGTCCCCAAAATTATAATAATTCTGATATGATTCAGACCACTCTTGCAATTTCCATTTTTTTTCCCAGTTATTCCCAATATTCTTTATTTTACTATTTGAACTATGATAGGCCTCTTAAAAGTAAAATTAAAGCAATAGTTGCTGTGGAAAGACAGCCTTTTTATTCTAATATTTCTAAGTAATATAGTTCTATTTTATTTTTAATACAGCAACACTTTGTTCTGCTGAAGTGGTTTTATTTTTCTGAGGCATGCAGGGAAGAGGGACAAAAGAGAAATTGGATGTTTAAGGTTATATGTGGTCCAATATATGCAAAGTGCTTCCCTTAATTTTCCTGTGGTGATAAGCTGTTCAGTGCTTGCAATTTATATGATGTCTTTTTATTAAGCTGGGAGTTCACTGAGCCTGTATTTAGTTTAAGATGTTCTTTGTTTCTCCTCCAAACTCCTGCTGTTCAGTATGTTCAGTAGCTGATGTGCAGACTGCCTCACCTTTGGCCTTAAAGGAGAAGGACATTTTGCCATCTGGTGGTACTACCAGCTTTGTCATCTGTGGCATGGGAAGCACATCATGAGCATGTATAGTAAAGGGGCAGATCTCATCAGCTCATATATTGATTGTGTTTTGAGATTAGACATACATAGAAATTCTAATTTTATTTGTATTTCCTGTGGGCAGACTGCCTGCACTGGAGGGAAAGTTTCCTTGCCAGTCATTGAGGAAATATGAAAAACATTAGGAAAATTATTATGCAACATTCCTTTACAAGAGGGTGCACAAACACTGGAACAGGCTTTCTAGAGAGGTGGTTGATGCCCCAAGCATGTGTTTAAGAGGCATTTGGCAAAGCCCTTAATCCCATGCTTTAACTTTTTGCCAGCGCTGAAGTGGTCAGGCAGTTGGACTAGACAATTGTTGCAGGTCTCTTCCAACTGAACTTTTTCTGTTCTATTCTATTCTATTCTATTCTATTCTATTCTATTCTATTCTATTCTATTCTATTCTATTCTATTCTATTCTATTCTATTCTATTCTATTCTATTCTATTCTATTCTATTCTATTCTATTCTATTCTATTCTATTCTATTCTATTCTATTCTATTCTATTCTATTCTATTCTATTCTATTCTATTCTATTCTATTCTATTCTATTCTATTCTATTCTATTCTATTCTATTCTATTCTATTCTATTCTATTCTATTCTATTCTATTCTATTCTATTCTATTCTATTCTATTCTATTCTATTCTATTCTATTCTATTCTATTCTATTCTATTCTATTCTATTCTATTCTATTCTATTCTATTCTATTCTATTCTATTCTATTCTATTCTATTCTATTCTATTCTATTCTATTCTATTCTATTCTATTCTATTCTATTCTATTCTATTCTATTCTATTCTATTCTATTCTATTCTATTCTATTCTATTCTATTCTATTCTATTCTATTCTATTCTATTCTATTCTATTCTATTCTATTCTATTCTATTCTATTCTATTCTATTCTATTCTATTCTATTCTATTCTATTCTATTCTATTCTATTCTATTCTATTCTATTCTATTCTATTCTATTCTATTCTATTCTATTCTATTCTATTCTATTCTATTCTATTCTATTCTATTCTATTCTATTCTATTCTATTCTATTCTATTCTATTCTATTCTATTCTATTCTATTCTATTCTATTCTATTCTATTCTATTCTATTCTATTCTATTCTATTCTATTCTATTCTATTCTATTCTATTCTATTCTATTCTAAAAGCTGGAGTATAGGGATAGACGTTAAGTAGTTTGCCAGAAAGGTCTGTAAATTCCAGGGGGAGAGAGAAAATAGTTCATTAAAGTACCATTTATGCTTTGTCTCAGGAAGACTTTGAAGTTTCAAACGAAGCCTAACTTGAAAACAGTCTACTTTCACTGGGGAGGTTGCTTAATGCAAATGTTTTCTTACATTAGTTGTTTAAGACATCATCTAAATCGACTGATTGAGATAAGCCAGTTTCCTATTACTTTATCCAGTTTGCCTTTTTAGCCTCTAAGATGCTGTGCTACTGTCACTGATGTCAAAGCCTCTTACTTGCTTGTGTACTCTCTGAAGATCTAAGGTCAGATGAAGGTAGAATAGGTGCTACAGGAGGGCTACAGTGGATTTCCTGGGATACACTCTGCAGCACTATTTCAGCTGGCAAACACAAGCTTTTTAGCTAAGTGCTGTCTTAGCCTTGAGACTTTTTATGTTTCCTTCCCCTATAACAGTAGGTCCTTGTGCCCTGATGTTTGCTCTGTACCAGATGCTGCTGCAGTTCAGTTCAGTGGTGCTGTATGAGTAGGTATCTAGGAACATGGAAATGGTTTTCATGTTGCTATTTTTATGAGTATATATGAGATGAATATGTGTGTAAAATGTGTTTACACAATTCCTAGTTAAAAATATCACTTAATTAAAAAAAATGAGGCAACATTTTATCTTGTGTCAACACTGACACAAGATAAAATGGATAACAAGTGTTCAAATCAAAATTATGACATAGCTTTCATGAGTAAATTAAAGGCACTAGTAAAAAGCTAGTGCTTCACAAGAAGCAGAGGACGGAGAACAGCTATTGCCATGGCAACAGAAGGAGCAAGGGGATTTACACTTCTGTATGTTTTGGTGCAGTCTTAACCAAGATTGAATCTGGAGAACAGCTCCACTATATTCATTCTTTATGAATTGTGTATCTCACCTCACTGCCTCAAAGCCTATAACTTACAGTCATAGGTCATTGATCTTACATGGCTTAAGACATTTCTGGACCTGTTAGAAGCCTAATTCTCAGATTATTTATCTAACTCTTTGCTATATAAAGTCACAAGGTCAAATAGATTGCTAATTTCAGTTGAAAATGTTTATTTAATTAGGTCTACAACTTAACAGTACACCTAAATCCTCCTGGTATTCTACTGGGAACACTAAGTCTAATGTCACTCTAATACAAGAATGTTCCTTTGTCATTAATTTCACCCTGTAATTGTCACTAAACACCTTTCTTCCATATGATCATAAGTATAATTTCTATCTGTAGAAAATTTTATGTCAAAAAATACTGTATGTTAATCCTATCTATTAAGCTTCTAATAAAGTATACAAAGTAAGATCATCTTACAGCCAGCAGGACATTTTGAGATTCAAATGATACTGCCTTGATTTAAGTTCTTTTTTTAAAAAATCACCCTGGTTTCAATAATGGTATTGTCTTTTAACATTTCAGATCACAGTTTTTCGCATGGGATCAGAAGGACACCAGGATATTGATTTAGCTATCCTGACAGCACTACTAAAAGGTAAGAGTTTCACTCCACAGTGAGTCTGTATCAACCCAAGCTCTTGTGTCTCTGCTGTGCTGAAACCTGCATTTATTGACGGTATCTACCATATCAAGATGGTAAATGTATACCATGAAACTGAAGTATACTTCTTGTTCTAACTGCTTTATACAAATCTACCTCTTTCTTTAATGTTTAAATATCTAGTGGTTTTCCTTTCCAAATTTTTTTTTTTGCCCGCTGCCCCACTAGTTACTTGAGAATATTAGTATTCACAAGAAGAGACCCAAAGCACTCAGATTACCATAGTGGCTAAAACACCCAGAAGGAGGTTATTTCCCTTTAGATAAAACTGGCTCTATTGTTAATGCAAAATGTCTTCTGCAGTCATCCTAGGAAAGTCTGGTAGAGCTAAGAACTCAGCTGTTGGGGTGGTAGGGGTTTTAATCTTAAACTTGACAGGTTGTTAAATCTTTCTAAGCCATTGCATGTTACTCTTACACTCATATAAGATTGTCTTGCAATGAATCTGCTGTTGCTACAGTTCATTAAAATCCCTGGTCTTGCAGACACACCATTTAGCTTAGCTCCCTTCAAAATATGATATTATTAGATAATTTGGTATCTGCTTGCAAATACAGAAACAGGTGAGATTTTAAAGGCTCTGAAGCACATATAACTTTCCCAATGAAAGATTACTCACCTAAACAAGCCCTCCATTTGCATGGTATTCCCCCAGATGGGATTTTCACAAACTGCATGTATCAATCACCCTGGTCATCTTGTTGCTGTCTGGACTGGTTTGTGCTATGCAGTACAGGCCATGTTGATAAAGATTAAGACAGACATACCAAACAAATTTAAAGAGCAATCTGAGAACCATTAAGAAATGGGCTTCCAAAGGTGTCTGGGAAAAGTTATGCTTCACGAGGCTCTTTGGCAGTCCTCAGCATGCTACTGCCACCACCACACCTGAATAAGAGGGTACAGGTGTGACACATCTGAATTTGAGTCACAACAAAAATGTAATAGATTTACAGGATATTCAAAAGGTAATGGGAATTATTCATGCTTGTTCCAGGGCTCTGTTTTCTTCTCAGTTTCTTCCTGTTCGTGCTCACAAAAGCTGTATGAAGAGAGAAGGCCTGAGTAACTTGCTTCTAATCATGCACAATAGCCTTTTACCTTTTACCCAATTTTTAATCCTATTTCAAAAATGTTACTTCAAATGTTTAAAACAAGAGTCTGATCAGGAAAAGTAAACAAGCCCTGGCCACTTCAAAAATATGATTTAAATCTGATACCTGTCAACTAAGGAAACAAGCTGGAATTATTTTGCTCCAGTAGCTTTTGTTTCTTTAGGCTTCTGTACTATTGCTTTCTCTATTTCTTTTGATCATTTCTATCAACATACCAGTTGTTTGTCCTGCAGATAACAGGCTATTTTGCTGCTGCTACACTGTGGTAAGGAGTCTTAGCAATCTGCATAATTAAACCTCAAGGCATTTTGTACATCTTCACACAGAAACAATACAAATCAAGATGAAGAAAGGAAAAGCAAATTAATACAAAGCAAGGAACAAGAATTGCATCCGTCACCAAATTCCTCCCAAATTTCTATGCTTAGGAAATTATTTGACTTCAGATTTCACTTTTATCTTCAATATAACTGAGTCCCTCATTATCCTTGGAGTAAAGTGTACTCTTCAAATTTGTTCTTAAGACAATCACTGGAAGTACTGCTCTTGACTTCCCTTAGCAGAGTCTTAGATATCAGTTTCCACAAAGCGGTTTATTCACAGCACAGTAACACAAAAACAGTCCAAGCTATTGTCTCCAAGGACCCCCCAACCAAGGCCCCCTGGGCTTTTATACCCTCACAGTCTACCCGTGTGCAAGTCTTCTCTTCCTCAGAAGTCTTCTAGTCCTGCCTCCCTTCCATGTCCATCCACATTGTTGGCACATCCCTCCTTGCTGGAATGAACCATGCATCATCCATCTTCATCTCCTTTGTTATCCAAAAATACAGCATTTTGCAGGTCCTGCTGTATCCCCCAGCGTCCATTCACCTGGTTGACCCACCCATCTACATGACCTTTTGTTATCTCAAAGGTTGGGAGTTCATGGCCACTTGTCTTGGGCTCCCACGCACAGCTTGATTCGGCATTGCAATCTACACCTCAATCTGCACCTTGCAAGCAGAGCCACCTGGACCAGATGTATTTCTCAACAAGCAAGACACAGGATGTCTTAAAGTTGTGATTCTACTTCTAGGTATATTTTCAAGGTTGAATCTAAGAAAAAAATCCATGGAGTCTTCTGAAAACTGACCCTTGGAAGCTGAAGAAAATAGATCATAGGCCTGCAAGGGATTCTTTTCTATTTGAAATGTTCTATTGCAGTATTTACATAAGCAACTGTTCTGGAATATCCATTTTGCAAGTGCCTAATTGATGCTGTCATCCCCTCTTCATATTAATAGTGCAAGACATCGTAGGGAGCTTCTGTTAGCTCAGGAGGTGCCTAGATCTGTGTAAGTAATCTTAATTCATACTTGTCTGACAATCTTGATTTGATAATCTGCTAATAGTCTGCAGCAGCACTTGTCTATTGCTCAAGAGCCAGAGGAACTAAAACTTATACCTCATCTTCCAAGTTCCTCAGCACTACCTGATTATGAAGGTACTCAATGAAGATTAGATTTATCAGATGCCTCTTGTTAACCTGAGCCTTCTGATCACACAGCATAAAAGTCCATGTAACATCTTGATTAATGCATGCAAAGATGAGATCTCAGGCAACTCAGCTGTCCTTATTTATGCCATGAATTTGTACAAAGGTTCTGGCCCACCTTGAAAGAAATACTGTTTCTGTATATATACCCCATCAGGCTGATGGGTACTTGGGTTTTTCATCAAGTCAGGAAGTCTAAGGTAGCAATGCTGAGCCACTTGTCTATTCATTTGTAATAAATAAATCAATTGGTGCATTTGTTTTATGCCATTGGAAACTTACTTCCCACATTTGCATGTCTCTCAAAATTAATAAATAAATTATTGTAATAAATAAAATAAACAGATTTGAAGACTGGATATGAGTCATATTGACATTCATAAATTTAGATTTAAGAATCTTTTTCATCTCTCCAGCATTATGTGAAAAAAAGGGGCAGAGCAAAGTATGATACCTGGTAACTTTTTGTCAGTCTCACTGATGAGGAATTTGCAGTTCTTGATGTCGTATACCAGCTAATTTCTCATCCTAGCCTGGTGTGAGTGATTTGGCCAGGGGGGTGGGCACAAGGATTGTGTTGCTGAAATTGGGAAGAAAACTTCCCATCACCAATGTAGCATTAAGAAGCAGTATTCTTTTATTGCAGCACTGGATGCACAAGGGTCACTCCATCTAACGTGCATACCAGCTATCCAAACTTTTTACTATTTACACATTTCACCAAACAGAGGAAGTAGTGCTCATTAGTTAAAAGTTACCTAATTCTTATGGTTAATACTCTATTTTCTGTTAGCGATTTCTCACTTCTTATGCTAATTATTCCCCAGATCATTACCATAATCCCACCCTTAATTAGCATATCCCCTCCCCTTCATACAGGTGCAGTTAATTGAAGTGGTGGTCTTTGAGGGTCTTCTGCAACCCCCAGTGGTCATTTTTTATTCTGTCCTTTTGTTGAACTTTTGCTCTTGGCCACAGTTCCTCCTTGGAATGTCCCTTTTCAGGTGTTTTGCTGGGCCTGCTTGAATTCGATGATCAGTCTGTCCATCACATACCAAAGCAGGCCTGATACAAGGGACATTGTATCTAAATTGTGTCTAACGGATGTCCAAACTGCCTTGGTTATTTGGCATCTGGTTACAAATGGGAAACACAAAGAATCATTTTCTGCTTGCTGTGTAAAATTAGCAATGAACTAGTCTCTTTCTAAACCTTCCCCAGACACACTGACAGTCTAGGAACTCTCCTGGACACAGTATTCCACAAGGTCCAAACCCTGCATCTCATATGATAGATTATTTTTCTGTTAATTTTCATGAGTCACTTGTTTAATCTTGTCAGCAAATCTGTCTTTCTTGGAAGTGATCTCCTATAAACTAGGGAATGGCATCCAAAGTGGATATCAATTTACATTGCATGGATGTCACAACAGCATATGGTTTGTGAATTTTTTTTTTTACATTTTGAGAGACATACAAATGTGGGAAGTAAGTTTCCAATAGCATGAATTTGTAGCAAGCAAATTTATTGATACAGTTTAACTGGTTGTGCTCTCTTGACTTCAACAGTTGGAACTCAGATAGTGATGGATTTTGTCCTTTTGCAGCCACTAGCTCAGCAGAAGGCATATGCCAGAGAAGTTAATGACAGCATATGGACGTATTCTAAAATAATCCTTGTTTTGATCAGTGATCCTAGTTCATGAAGCTGTTGCAAAATCTGGAGCAGACTAGTACCAGACATGTTTCAGATGGTGCTCTGGATGCCTCCCCAGTGCAATTGTTGGCATTAGGAAAGAGGTGTTGTGTCATATATGCATATTGTAATATTACTGCTTTATAGCCCTCTGAGATAAGCCATGTTAGGCTAATGCAGATCTGATGTCTCTGCATCCTTTCCAGCCTGTGAATAAGTCATGATTCATGCTCACTGAATAGCCATCACATAGTATCCGATCGTCCAGGAAGAAAGTGCGATAGTCAGCCAACCATGAAATCACAGACACAAAAGGGTTTAAGAGTTAGGTCAGATATCTGGTTACTGCCCTTATAGCTGGTTTTGCTATCAGTTTTTTTTATTGTCAATTGATTTGCTAAATGCCAGGAAGATGCTTGTGGCAAATGCAGTGGAAACGCAACCTTTGCACCAAATACATGCTGAAATAGAAGACAGCATAGGACCTGCTAACATGCAGAGCAGGAATTTAATTAGAGTTGCTATTTTCTCTAATGTAATTACTTTCTTTAGATGATGATTCAAAGAGGACACTGACATGCTTAAATGCACGGTGGAAATGAGCATCCAACAACCATTTCTGTCTAGGTAGATAACTTTTGTGTCATTTCAGCTTTTCACATTCCTGAGCACTAAGATCATAGACTATCCCAGGAGAATCCTTTAGGGATTTACATTGGTCACAGTAAGCTTCAGCCAGTATATAAAAGCCTATAGTAATAAGTATATAAAAGCTCTGCAGTAATCCAGTCTCCTGCAAGGGCACAACACTCATTGTCTGAAGTGTACCCTGGCTCACCTAGGATGCAGAGTCAAGCTTATGGTCTCACACTTTTTCATCCAGGAGTATTGCATTTTTGGTCCAAGGGAATAGGTCATGTGACTTTTTAACAGACGAATCTGTGCAAGATATCCAGACACTCCTGGATGTCAGCCTAAGAACATAAAGTTAACATCTACAGGAACTAACAGCTGTCTCAGCAGTCTATCTATATCCTGCAATACCTACACCAAAATAAAATACTTCAACACATTGCATCCCAAATGTAACTTTTCTTCTAGAAGCAAATTAGAGGAAGGAAGAGTCCCACTGCACACATTAATCATATTGTCTTAAAACATTCTTTTGAGGAATATATTGAGCCAGACACAAGGATACTGAGTAAATATTACAGCGACATTAGTCATATTGCCTTGTATACTATTTAATGCAATAAATATGGTAATTAAAATAATACAATGCAATGAGTTATTATCTCTACCTTATTTTTTTATCTCCCAAATATCCTTTGGCTTTGATTTGGGCACATTACAGTGATACTCATGAGTGACATGAGCCCTCAGAGAGATCACTTTTTGGATTCTTCTTACTGACTGAAATCCATGCTCTATGGCACCAAATGCAATCAAGGAAATGACTGAAAGGAGACAGTATCTTAAGAAAGCCCAACACACATTTTTTTCTAGGAAGCTGTTCTTCTATGAGTGGAATTATTATTGCTTCTTAATACTGGGTAGAGTTCCACCTAAATTAGCCTGAATACTTTCTTTTTTCATCCGAAACAAAGGTCATCAGTTCCATCCTGGTATAAAAGCAATTAAAAGGCAGCCACATCTCATGTGCCGCTCTGTACGAATTTTAATAGTTTTTATTTTCCTTGTCCTCTTAAGTAACATCAGTAGACTACATTCACCTTAAAACTCCATAGTGAAGACAGGAAAGAGGAGAAGGATACAAGAGCTTTCCAGGAAGAAACTTTACTCTGGGTGCACCCGTCCCACCATATGTCTCAGAGCCCCAGCATGCAGATCTGTATTGCCCACTCTACATCCTAGCTGATGGACTGGCTTGGACCTAAAGTACTATTATCCCCTTAAGAAACCATACATTTCCTTCAGCTGCCAAACGTCTGCTGTGCTTGCTCTGTGAGACAATGAAATCTACCATTATGGCAACAAGCATTGAGAAGAGTGTCAACTCTTGGACTGCACGTGCACCCACAGGAAAACTTGGCAACTGCTGGCAGCCTTAAACACCATGGAGCAAGGTGGGAAGGACAGAGTTTGGACCATGGCTTGCTTTCCCCTCTGCTCAGTATTTGGAGCAATGAGTATGCTCAAAGAAGACAATTCTGATGAACTGCCCTGTGTTCATCCAGCAGCTGGATCTTTCCTAAAGGTCAAAAAAAGCCCAGGATTGCTAGGTCACTTGACACAAATGGAAGAAATGTCCCTCCTAGGGCTCAAAAATTGCTCACCTGTAGCCTCTGTGACTTATCTTAACCCCCTTCTCAAGTGGGGGCAGTGTAAGTAGCCCACTTCCCCTCCCCAAATCCATTTGATCCACTCTTGATCCAAAATAGTTTCTAAAGAGGCAGCTCCCCTGGCTATCCAGCCTGTAGACTGCAGTCAGTTTAGGAATATCAGGAAGTGGAGCTCCCTCATCACATGTGCAAAATGGTGCTAAGCTGTGGGATCACCATCCATTGCTGCCCCTGGTTTGAGAGTCGACACGTGTGCCCCTTCTATGGCTCACCAGAGAGCCTGCCTGAGCACCTGCCAAAGCTTTTGCTTCTCCTGCAGGCACATGCACAGGAAGGAGAAGATCCAATGAGATGATCTGTTGTTTGCTTCGGAAAGGGGGAGATTATTTGTTCTCTGTACTTAAAGTACACTGTCATACCCACAATATTTTTTCTGTTTTTATAAATAAATCTGTAGAAACATTTTTGCCCTTCCCAGAGGCAATTATTTTCTATTTTTGGGTGCTGTATGTTGTGTAAGAAACCCAAGTTTCAGATGTCATTTGTAACCTCCATGATGTCTTTTGCGAGAGCTTTTGTCTTTGTCGTAGTATATAACAATGAGAAGTTGTGTCTTATGCAAAGGGACATTACTGTTACTTTTTAGTCACAGAAGTCACAGAAATATTTTCACTTTTTTTTCTTCTTCATTTTTTAAATTCTTCTGCTCCTGTATCACCTACCTTTTTATGAGAATTCATTTCTGTATGAATGTGATCTATATGATCTATAGTCCACCATCTCCTCAACAATTGCTGTAGGTACTGACAAGCACTTGGGAATGTTTCATAGCAGTGAACTGAGTTCAAAGTTGAGAGTTATAAAATTAAAATATAGGTTAAGCTTCATGAAGACTTTCATTAGGTCTTCACAGAGAATTTCAGCAGCCAGCTCCATATTTTCTGTGTCTCGAATTTCAGAGCCCATTTCTATTGGAACAGTGTGTGTTTTCGAATAGTAGTGAAATGGGGACAGAAATGCTTTGAAGTAAAGAAAAGCTTGTATTTATCCTCACTCCATGATATCAGTATAAGAATTAATGAAGAAAAAAAAAAGTGGAGGTATGAGGTCTTTAAAAAGTAAGCCTTTAAACAATCACCTAACCACTGCATGCAGATATGTAGTTAAAAGTATAAAAGGTCTTTTATTTATTTGGTTGATCAGTTCATTTGGCCAGTTCTCCCTGTGACACTGGAGCACAAATATTGTTTTATTACTACAAATCAGCTGAGAACTATGCAATATTGAAAAAGCACAGCAGGGCAGGAATGTCCCACGGTGTCCATTAGAACTATGGGGAAAACACGTACCCTCCCTTCCATAAACAAACAGCTCCAAACCCATCTTATCATCTGCATAGTTTCTTATTTTATTTGAAGATACTATACCTTGACACCAGCTGTATAGATTGCTTTCTTAGGTGAATATTGCATGTGTGAAAGGAAATTTGTCCTACCAAGACCCCTCAATGCAAATAGGTAGAGAAATTCCTATGCTTCTTATCATGTTGGAATGCATAGACATACAAAAATGCACAACTACTGAAACTAGCGGTATCTGTAGGAGTTTAATCTGTTCATAATTACTAGAGGTACATGTGTGTGTGTGTTGTGTGTGTGTATGTGTGTACTCATGCGCATGTGTGTGCGTGTGTGTGTATTACTGCACCTGGGTCAGTATCCCTTCTGGTTTCTGCTCTTGCTTCCTATCTGATAAGAGGGAAACCAGTTCACCACAAATTGGATCTTCTGAGCCCATTCTGAGCCCACCTGTATCTGCTGTATTTTTGAAGGGGAATATGAGGAAATAATTAATGCTTATAAGACAATTTGAGAACCAGTATTTTATTACAGGGACAATGAAAGGTTTGGTTTTGTTTTAATGTATCAGTTGCAGAAATTACATAGAAATCTCTGAGACTTTTGACAAAGAGTAATTACTGTGGCATAATGAGTCTAAAATATGTCTTATTTCTCTTTTCTCCTTCTATCCTCGCTGCACCCCTGTCTGTATGCACAGGAGCTAATGCATCTGCTCCCGACCAGCTGAGCCTAGCACTAGCCTGGAACAGAGTAGACATCGCCCGCAGTCAGATCTTTATTTATGGGCAACAGTGGCCGGTACAGTATATGCATACCACATCTTCTACTGGAAACGCTTTAAACCCTACACAGCATTGAATCCATTGGTTGGTGGCAGCTGTTTAAACATGGTTTAAAATACACTGGGTCATGCTCCCAGCCAAATATACGATTCCCATTCACAGCTGCTGAAGGCAGGCACGATTACAGAGATGTTAATGTGCTCTCTTGTCCAAGGAAATGGTGACATCTAGTGATGCCTTAGCACTGGGAAACCACACCTTTGAAAAATCAGAAAGCATCAGGTTTATACTACCAGCAATGACTCTGCAAGTTGAAAAAAACACGTCTATATACAGCCGTGTTTCAGTGCTATGTTGTAAATTAAAGGAAAGGCAAAACTTCTTTTTGCTCTTAAAGGAATAACTTTTATATGCAAATACTGCATTTTTCATAGAATCATAGAATTTTAGGGGTTGGAATGGACCTTACAGATCATCTAGTCACAATCCCCTGCCACGTGCAGGGACACCTCCTCACTAGACCAGGTTGCTCAAGGCCTCATCCAGCCTGGCTCTGAATACCGCCAGGGCTGATGACACCAGTTCCCTGGGCAACTTCTTCCAGTGTCTCACCACCCTTAAAATATTTTTCCTAATATCTAACCTAAACTTCCCCTCCTTCAGTCTGAGTCCATTACCCCTTGTCCTATCACTGCAGTTCCTAACAAAGAGTCCCTCTCTGGCTCCCTTGTAGGCCCTCTTCAAATTTTGAAAAGTTGCTATGAGGTCTCCACAGAGTCTTCTCTTCTCCAGGCTGAACAGCTCCAACGTCCTCAGCCTGTCTTCACAGAGGAGATGCTCTAGTCCTCTTATCAACTTTGTCACCCTCCTCCTGACTTGCTCCAATAGTGTCATGTCCTTCCTACACTGAGGGCACCAGAACTGCACACAGTATTCCAGGTGGAGAGTCTTATGAGAAAAGAGTAGAGGGGGAGGATCATCTCTTTTGACCTGCTGGCTACACTCCTGTTGATGCAGCCCAGAATTTGACTGGCTTTTGAATGATGATTTGAAGTAAAAAATACACTGCACAAATGCTGAAGGTCAGGTACACCACAGGAGCTGATCAGTAGTGTCACCATGGATGTGCTGTGGCTCAAGACCTCAGCTGGTGTTAGTTCTGTGCCCAGTGCTGATCTGCATCTATCTTCGTGCTTCATGTCTGCCCCATTCTATGCTCCAGTGCCAGTCTCCTTGGCCAAGATCATTCCCAAGGAACACCAGAGGTAGAGCTACTCTGCAGGAGCGGTAGGGCTATGAATAGAGACATTATTGTATGCTGTGTGGGGCAGAGGAGGGGTAGTCAACTCCCAAATTCTGCTGCAGTTTTTACAGTGATAGAACTCACCCAGAAAAAAAACCAGAAGGAGTTTATCTCTACCTATATCTCCTTATAGCCCACCTTATTTTCACTCGTTACTGTGACACTTGTTTCATCACCATCATTAAAATTTCATACACTGTCATTACATGAGAAATTACAACTCCCCAAGGAAAAATATAACAAAAAGAAAACCTTCTGTTTAAATATCCTTGCTTTAAATGTAGTGTCTGGAGCTTGATGGCCCTTAAAGCTACTTTCAAAAATCCTTGCCTCTTCAGTTGTGGAGTGAATAAGACTATTTATTTTGCCTTTGATATTCAACATAAGTATGCATCAAAACACAAAGGATTTTAATGGTACTAAACTGTCCTTATCATTATCTTTGCATCACCACATCATAGCAAATATTTGCATAAATGCTGGAAGCTATAAGCTGGAAGTGTGAGATAATTTCTCATGATTCTAGCTCCTCCTGACCACCAAGAGGTAAAAAAGGAGAGGCTTTGTGTAAGACCTCTTGCATTTGGCCCTCCAAGGAAATTCAAATTGTGAAGCTATTTCTGTTTCCTGGGTGTCCGAGTTTCCGCACCATGAACGGAGGAAAACACTAGTAAAGGCAGAATTACAGTGAGTCTGTGTGTGAATAACAAATACACCCAATGTAAATAAAATGTTTGACAGAAAAACAAGAAATAAAGATAGTAGTGAGATGTTAAATAGGGTGGAGGTGTGGTCACCAGTTTTCTGCGCACCAGTTCCTTGGTCCTAATATGTATTTCCTAGAGTATTTTTATCTTAGGACTCTTGACAGTCATTTTTGAAATGCAGCCCTGAATCAGAGAAACCATTATAGACTAAAACTGTGGTTATCCCATTTTAAGCAGAGCAGAGTAACCCTCAGAATTTCATGAGAGTTCCCTACTTGTGCCCGAGTGACCAAACCAGCTGGATACAGCCTACAATGCCCAGGAACAGCTTCAATTCAGTGCTTTCTTTGCAGGTGGGCTCCCTTGAGCAAGCAATGTTGGATGCACTGGTGCTGGACAGAGTGGATTTTGTGAAATTACTCATAGAAAATGGAGTAAGCATGCATCGTTTTCTCACCATCTCCCGACTAGAGGAATTATACAATACGGTAGGGCCAAGCTAAGGCAAATTTTCTATCTCTGTATTCATTGTTGTAGCTCCCACTTGTATTATAATGGCATGGATTAAGCCCTACACAATACCAGCTGATTTTTTGTCATTGTAATTCCAGTATGGCAGATCTGAGATTTAAGCAGGTGGCACTGGCTGTAAGACAGTAACTGGCAAGTTGCGACACATAGGATGGTGTTATATGAGAGTATAAACCCTTACAGTTTCAGAAAATTTTGCAACTATTAATCAATCTCCATTACAGTGAAGGACCTCCTCATGCCCTCACTGAGTGTTCCAAAAAATTATAACTTTGCCTTTTAAAAGCCCGTTTGCAAGTTTTCTGGTTTTGTCCTTGAAAGGAATATAAAACTGAACAGGTTCAAATTGCTTCTGACTTCTCAAATGCAAAACACATTCCAGCATTCACATCATTATTACCTACTGAGAAAAAACAGGAAGTTCAAATTTCTCAAGTAATATGGAAAAAATTCTTAAAAGCATTCTCTAGTTCTTAGGATTTCTAGTTTTCTGTGTTGGAGAGGGGTTGTGATATGGGCATAGCTCTTCCCAGAAAGTCTTCTTTCTGCCAGTGCTTTTCAAAGCCCTTGCCATCATAAACCACCACACTAGGCTATTGTCCAGAGATGCTTCACACTAATGGTGACCAGAAGTTAAGTCTTGCAAAAATATCAAATATGAAAAGGATTCATTAAATTTGTGCAAAATATAAAGAAACAGGTATCCATGCCACCTTTGAGACAGGTTCTCATCTGATCTTTGATCAGCTTAAACTTTTCCTTTCAACTAACATCTGTGTATTAAGAACAGAATGCTTATGAGTTTTCTTGCATAGCAATAGGCGTTGAAGTCCTTGTACCAAAGCCAGTCTTTACAGGTAGTAAGTTTGAGGAAAGTCTTCAGTTCTATAGCTAAAAGAAGGGCTTTTTGAACAAATTTATTGTGAGCTATAGAAAAAGTTTTTCAGGCAAGAATTCCAAAAGACTGAAATGCCTAAGTGATATATGACCTAATGCAATCATAGTAGCCTTAGCACCGAAGAAATTGCATGACCAGTTAAAATTTACCAAATTTCAACGTGAGACCTGAGAGTGACCTGTTAAAACTACACCAGTGAATCTGACTTCTGCTACGGCAAATTTGTAAAAATAGAATAAAATATAGCAGTTGTAGACAAGGGGATCAATTTTATGTCATCAAAGGGTTTACCTAGCTTCCACAGGAAAATGTTAAGGCTTAGAAATCTATTACTATTTCTGCAGTTAACATGCAGGAGAATAAGGATGTTGCACTTGGTCCAACTTTTTTTGCAAAACCAGTTTGACAGTATTTGACAACCTCAAAGGTTATTAGGGAAATACAGCTGTCATGGCATAGACAATAAGGGGCACTTGTGATTTAAAAGCTACTTGAATGATAGAAAACAGTAGTAATATATCATCTGTTTCCACCACAAAGAGACATTATGACCAAGGTCATCCAGGACCCTGTCCTGGGATCACTGCTGTCCAGCCTGTTTGGCTATGATCTGAAAAATGGTAACTACTGAAGGGACAATGTTTGCAAGTGATTTAGAATCACTCAGAGTAGGTAAATCTGAAGCAGCATATGAAGAATCACAGGTAAGTCTGACCATGCTCAGAGATGGGGTTACATGAAATTACATGCTGGCAGGTGCAGAGCAATCCACATATGAAGCCATTGATGCTGTGCATGTGCAGTGGTTTCATCCATCATCAGCTACAGCCCAGAAGACCGCTCATAAATGTATCTTAAAATATCAGCAGCAGTAATAAACTGGAAAATAAAGTAAGATATAATAATAAGATGCAATTGAAACTATTGGAGTCTGATGCAAAATGTCAGGTGGAGTCAAAAGAAGATTGGACAAATTCAGACTATGCATGCTGTTGTCTCTCCGATTAAACAACCTAGATGAAACGTCAGGCTCAGGACGTCTCTGAGCCACCAGTGGTGGAAGTGGAGATCCTGAGTGCAGGA